TAAACATTTGTATCAGGTCAACTAAACATGGGCATAGTAAAAATATTTTTATATTACATTTATCCATTTTAAATACACTAACCTAACTCCTTTGTAACAACTAAGGCAAAAATGTAATTAATTCCAAAAATCTTTTCAGGACCCCACCTTGATGTTTCGGGACCCCACTTTGGGTCCCGACCCCAACTTTGGGAAACACTGCTCTAAACCAGTGGTTTTGAAACTTTTTTAGCTTCCGACCCACAAAACTACTGCTGCAGAAACTTGGGACCCCTGATATTACTGGTTTAAACTTTAGATTCTGGTACCAGCTGTTTGAAGAAATCACCAGATGTTCTTTATCAGTTTGTCCTTCTTCTCTGGCTTCTTTCTGCTATTTTAATTTTAGGAGAGTGGTCCTATTACCCCTCCAAAATGATTCATAGAATATTACTGAGGCTTTATATGAAATGTTAGATTATCTGTTCTGTTGGGGTAAGGTGGACTTTGATTTATAACAGATTTTATTTTCTTTTAAATTTAATATGAAACTCCAATTTATTTTATTTTGTTTATTTATTTATTTATTTGTTCTGCTCTCGGGGGAGTAAGATGCTTTTTTCCCTCTCTCCTGCCCTCCCTTATCTTCCCTGTTTCGCTGCTCGGAGCCTCCTTTATGTTTTTATCTGAAACCAGAAATTATGGATATTTTTATTTTTATGGATTTGGTTAGCTGGTCTCTTAATAAATTTTTGGAACAAAGTTTTCTTCCATGGGACGACATGTCAAAGGTAGGACCTCTGTTCTGCTCTGTTCTGGATATATATTTGGATTCTGATCACTGGATTCTACAGATTGGTTTGGTGGTCTCCTGGTGTTCTACAAAACGTTGGTGGCTATTCAGGTCATTTCCTGGCTGCCTGACCAATATGAAGGATTGCCGTTCTATCAGCCCTCAGACTTTTGCCTTGTGCGACCTGGAACTCGGTCTGCAAGCAGTTCTGCTGAGGGACGCCGGCCGGCTGTGGTTCCTGGACTTTGCTGGCGAGATGGAATCGATCTTGGAAAAGCTGATAGCTCGGCGAGATTGTCCTCACTATTTGTCTGATTGGATTCACCACATTGGATGTACCAGCGGACATGAAGGCAGATGGAAAATTGTTATTGTCTGCCTGGCCGAAAACAGTTTCTTCTGTTCCCAAACAACTGATTACAGATTTGGCTCTCCTACATGGCCTTGAGCTGTAGACTAAATTCTTCCTGGATGTAGATGTCGACTGAGGGTCTGCCCCCCAGCTTTCGCCCCTCTCATCCCCGTCTGTGATCTGGTTCCTGGAGCAAGCTGAGGGCCGCACAGAATGAACACTTAACATCCATATTCTGAACAATGGCTGCGCAGATTTTGGGGACTCGATTTTTCGGGCTCGTTTTTCAGATATTCACACAAGTGCATACAACACTCATGGCTTCAGATACATGCCCCCCTAAACTCACTTACTCCTCTGGCTAATAGATGTGCTCTATGCAGAGGTTTTTTTATAAACACCATAGTATGTCACATTGTTGATATAATATGATGTTTTGTTTTTTTCCTCATCTTCCCTTGTGTGGTTTTTAGTTTTTTTTCTTTTAAGGGTTGCGCCTCCTCATGATGTCTTCATGATGATGATCTTTGCTCTGTGCAGGGTCTGTGGCTGCATGACCCAGGGCACCTGTTCTCCTATGTTTGTTATGTTCTGTCTTCTTCTGAATGGGTGTTCTGAACTGTAATTTCACTGTGCTCTGTACACTGACAAGAAAGGTCTATCTTATCTTATCTTATCTTATCTTATCTTATCAATTTTGGATTCTCAGATGTCTTGTAACCCAATATTAAAAATCTTTAGAGACAACTGAATGTAATCCATATGAAGGTAGACATTAAAGAGTCACTAGATGCAGACTAAATCATTAAAAAATAACAATTTGTTTCTCCAAAGGCTGAATGACTTACATAACGTGCCTGTTGGTACTTTATTTGAGCAACAGTTATTCTTTTTTTTTACCCTTTACATATACAGTATATTTATAAATCATAAAATGGTAATTGTGGATTATGCATGCACTTTCTGTAGTGGTTTATTTAGGGATTTTGTTGTGAGGGCAGGTAGTGGGACAGCACCAAGTTAAAAAAAATTCTCCAAGGGGACATTGCATTTTAACATAAGTCAGAATTTGTATTTTGTCAACCACAAGAACATTCTGTATAAAAGCAATATTATGTTAACAGAGTGCATGCTCACACAAAAAACATGTACATCCCCTTTTAATCTTGTGTTTTATTGTTTTTGACTTTTTTTCTAACCTCTGTTGATGTGCGTGATCTAAACATGTTTAATATGTGCATCCACTGTGATGGATATTTGCAGTTTCATGTTATTACTCATATAGTCATAGTAAAAATTTATTATCTTAACTACATCCTCCACACCCTCCAAAATGTGTTATCAATAATGAACCCTGCCCCAAACCTCTGAGGAACATCATTTTCTTTCAAGCTATGAAAAATTAGTCACGATTATGCTTTTTTTTCAAAACACAATGAGAAGAGGAAAAGCAAAGATGTTACTCTGACACAGAAAGAGCGCTAGAGAGGAGGCCACTGGCATGTTTTGTAAAACACGTACAAGTAAAAAAAAACGTGTACTGAAGGAGGGCGAGGATTAAAATCTGTATTTTGAGAAGAAAGGGCGACACAGTGACAAAGACTCACAAAGAAGAGAACAAAATTTGGAACAAAGATACAGACCAGTTTGAATGGCTATGGACACACACACAAACACACACACACAAAGAAATATGAGCTGAAAGCAGGAACGAGTGAAACAGATACGGCCGAACAGAAAAATCGTACAAAAGAGCACAATTGCACTTCAGCATAAAAAATCTTCATAACATATGTAACTAATCTGCACGTAGAAAAAAATATACACTTAAAATGATGGATGCCACTATGATTCCATGTGCGTTGCATGTCCTAGATGAGCATATTTCCCACTGGACGGTAACTGGAAATCAATAGGAAAGAGGCTCATTCTCTCTGTATTAGCTGCATTCATCACAATAAAAGCTCCAGAGTTGACGGGTGCTGATGTCAAAGTCATTCTCTCAGGAGCCTGATTGTATTGGCACTCCACGTATCATAACCACTAATTACTATATTACAGAGCAGGAAGTGGGTGATGTGTGCCACGGTCTTCTCCTGTGAGTGCACCTGTCTATGCTTTATAAATCGACACATAATTTGGGAGCATAAGAGTCTGATCAATGGAGCCGTGATGCAGACCCGTAATTAGAACCCGGGCTCTGTGCTGCTGTTACACTCGGTAGCTTTTATCAACGCCAGCAGCTCTGAGAAGCATCATGCTTCCTGCTTTATGACCGGCTCAACGTGAAATCATTGAAGATCCAAATTAGGCAGGTAAAAGAATGATGTGTCCCCTTTTTTGTTTGGTCCCAAAGGAGCCAAAAGCAAAACGGATCATGATTACTCATGAGGTTCGGGCTTAAACAACAAACAAGCTAAATGAGGCTGACGTGTCAGACATCTTAGATTGATGCAATTAGGGTTATCAAATTAGTAATTAAACCAATTTGAGAGGTGGAGTACAAAACAACCTCACCTTAAACAGTGTTTCAATAATTAGTTTATGAGAAAAAAGTAATTATCTCATAATAAATGTGTTTTTATTTGTATTTAATTGCCTCACTAAATGAATTATGTTCTTATCTTACAATAAAGCAGATACTTTTATTTGTATAGAGGTTCTTTCAAAATAAGAAAACAATCATAACAGTTTTGGAAACTAAAGAACACTTTCAGAAAAAAATGCCTCAAGTCGAATGAAGAGGAATGAAGGAAAGTGTTTTAGTTAAAAACATAAAAGGAAAATCAACCTCACTAAAATGACACAATAAACATATCTGATAAATCTCCTTAATTAAAAACACTGCTTTTAAAAAGCACTGCTGTTAAAGATTTCCTTAAAGATTCAAATCATTATCTGCATTTTTAGGTTTATGCTTGTAAGGTGTGGGCACAAATGACTGGTTCTTGTCCTACTTTCACTCTCTGTGGGTGCTTTGCAGGGGAACCTGGCGGTGTATCATAACTGCTGTTTAGAGACAGTCTCTATGTCGGCTAAAACATGCTTCAAATAAATCAGCAGCTCATTAAAGTCTCAGTCTGCACACGCTTTGCCTTCTAGGGAGATTTCAGCTGTGTGGTGCAAACTAGTATCTCATGTATTCTATCTGGTTTTTACAGAGTAGTGTCAGGTGCTCCATCCAGAGAAGATGGAGTCTAATTATTTCAAACCTTTGGCTTTAAGGTGGGATTTAACTCTGCCTCTGCAGAACAAACTCATTCAATGGGATTAAAGCTGTGAGTGTTTCCCATCCATATCTGTGAACATGTGTTCTTCACAGAACTCACATAATGAAGCCATGGGTCTTTGTCCAACTAAAATGTGTCTTTTTTTAGTTGGACAAAGCTTTCACATTAGCTTTGAAATGCTAATTTCAAAGAGTCATGTCATTACAATGATACCAAAAAATAGATTAGATAATAAAATATTCAAGTCAAACAGCTTTTGGTCAGGAGAAAATTCATTTCTAGGTTTGAATCAGCAATCCTACCAATGAGCAGTGAGCGTCCGTCTCCTAGAGGGTAGCGCTGGTAGCGCGGCACAGCAAACGGTGGCAACTTGTGAAAGAGAGGCTGCAGCAGCGGCTCCAGTCGGGAGGCTGAAGGATCCGAGGGATAAAACAGGTTGAAGATCTGAGAACAGGCCGGGCGAAGCTGACTCACTGAGGAACAGCAAACAGAAAGGCAAGACACCTTAGAAGTACAAATTTTTATTCCAAGCATTGCTCTTTTCATTGTAAACATTATTTTATTTTTATTTTTCTCTTAATTTCTTTGTTTTTAATGTAGCCTTTTGATCCTTCACCGTACAGCAACTGTATATCTGCACACCTTTGAACTGCGCCACATAAAACATAACAGTCGTTTCATGTTTAAGCTTGCGGGTGTGATTCTTACCCTGAACGGTTGGCAGCACAGTTCGTCTCATGGCCAGAACCAGTCCCAGAGGACAGCCCAGCAGGAAACAATCTGACACCTCGAAGTCAAAACGACCGGGGTTCAGCACCAGACTGATGCTGCTGCCACCGCGCACCTCCACACTCTCCTTCATCAAACTGAAACATAAAACACGTCTTATTGTAATTACAGTACACATCAAACCAATGTGTTTCCCTCTGCTTGTTACTGTGTGCGAGGCGGGGGACAGCTTGGACAGGAGGCAGGTCCACAACACACCAACCAGACAAACAATCATTCACGTTTTCACTCACACCTGGGGACAATTTAGAGCTACCAGCTAAGCTAATGTGTGTTTTTGCTCTTTGGACAGAAACCAGAGTAGCTCACTTTTATATCAGCGTTGACTCAAATAATTAGAGGCAAAGTTCTAAAAGATGTGAGATCAGCAAGCTCTCAGAGTTGGGTGTGGCTCTCAGCTACTAACCCAGCAAATCTTGTCTCAATATCTGTAAAACTCAGCCATTTTTGTGTTTGCTAAGTTTGCATATAGGGGACATCATGCAAAATCCACTTTTTAGCCGTTAAATACATTTTGTTGTGTAAATTGCAGTCTTTTTATTCCGTTACAATATTTTTTTGTTTTCTGACATGTTATGTGACATGTAAGGCTGGATGGATAAGTCTTCTCTTGTTCACATCTTCTAATTAAATTGTAAATAAAACATTTCTATGCTGCCTTATAGTCCTAAACCCCACTATCAAACTGGAATGAACCGGTCTAGAAGCTGGAGGGGGAGGGGTGTGAATTGCCTTGTTTGGATATAAAGAGACAGCCTCAAAATAAGTTGATCTGAGGCACACCTCCGAAAAGAGGTGAAAGAGGGGCTTGTGGAGTTACAATAAGTTTAAAGATTTAAATGTGAGAAGGAAGGATTTAAAAGCAGGAAATGTTTCTTTTAACTGTGGCAGCCATGTTGAATTGGACTGGCTCCTAAAGTTGACCTGGTGTAGAAGTACGTGAGAAGATTATTTTCTGGACATTTCATTAAAATATGTCCAGTGGTTCATCAGATACTTTACTAACTTGTAAGGCAAATAAACAAATGCATGTACACACATGCAAAAACATCCTCGCCCTTTAGCTTTGGTGGCAGGCACTAAATACCGTATATGGGTTAATCTGACAATTTAGAAATCAATAAACTAAACGCTGCAGCTGCAAGTAAATTCTGTAATGACAGATGAGTCAGAAACCCTTTTTGCCTCGCCCCGATTCAAACGTCGGCTGGTTAGTTTTATCATTCTGTAGTAGCTGTCAGCGCCGAGCCTTTATGACTCAGCCTGAACAGCCTGCATCACACTGACAGCTGTTTAAAGAGCCGAGCCAGTTGTAGCCACAGCCTCTGCTGCAGACTGACTCCATCCCTCTGCTTAACAGCTCGCCAGCATTTCCCCATTAAGTCCCGCGTGTGGAGGACGGATTAGCCAACAGTCTCCAGCCATCTGTAAAAGCCAAATCAATAGTTCTTTGATTGCTTTCTGCTGCTATTTTGGGGGAGTTATTTTGTTCTCTCGTGTCACTCGTCCAACAATTTGGTCCGGAAAAATAAATTACTGCGGAAAAGCCTCGTCACAGTTTAAGCCACTTGGCAGTTTTAAGGGAAATACTTTTAATTAATAAGAACATAAAGTGCAGATGTGAGTGTAATTAGGTTAATGGAAAAAAGCAATTTCTCTACTTATGGTTCAACACTATGCTTTCTGTCCAAATCTCATCCTCCTTAGTTTTTATACAAGCAGGAAAATGATCATTTGCAAATCATCTCAAGGGTGACTTTGGAGTCAGAAATACTTCTAACTAAAGGTAGACGTCTATTCAAGACGGGAAGATTCATGTAGTGAAGACAGGTTTAAGTCCGCTTGGTGATGGGGAACATTTAGTGGGATCGGTGGGAGAAAAGAGCAGAAGCGCAGGTATGTATTCTCCATGCAGCTCTGCTCCGACTTAATAAAGAGTGTGAGAATGAATGAAAAGTGAGATTGCCATAAACTGTGAGGGTTTTGTTGGGGATTGACAGAATCCTAAAGTACACCTGAACGCTGCGATGGGGTACGCCTAGAGGAGCTTGTGACCTGGAAATGAAAAACAGGTTACTTGGTCAGAGTAAACATCCCATCTTTGCTTGGCTAAATTACCCTGCAGAGCCTGGTTTCCCTCAGACTGGCAGACTATTTATACTCCGTCTGAGACAGGTAGGCAGGCGGGGAAGTCAAGCTGCAAATATTGATAAATGGCACGAGGGCGACAAGGTGACACTTTACAGAAAAATCTGGATGACAGCCTGCTATGCAACATCTGGATCAATCACAAATCCATAACATGCTCATCTCTACTTACAGTATCAATCCATCTAAAAACATGAAGTCCAAATGCCGAAATCTGTTTTTTTCTTGCAATAAACTTGTTTTAATTTCCTCTAAGTTTTGCAATCTGTTGTTTTGTCCTGTGTGTGTGAGTGCGTGCATGATGTAGATAATGAAGGTCACATCTCATATATAAAAATGTATCTTTGTTCTGTTTGCATCTTATTGGATTCTACTGATGTTGTCCTGCTGATATGATTCCAATATTAAATGATTAAAGTTTTTTTTTTTTCACTTTTATGGCAAAAGATGTCCATGTTTTGCATATTTTAGGGAGTCTTTAGGGGAATGTTCGTATTCTGGGTCAGATTTTCACAGGTTAAATGTAAAGTTAGGATATTTATATAGACACACAAGCAGCACATTTTACACAGTATATAATAATTAATGCATAAAGATAAAGGTGATGGTAAAGACATTTTATCACTTTTTTAGGTTCTTACTTTAACACAAATCTGAGCTAATTCTAATTCATTTCCCCAAATCTTGGTTGTGTTTATGCTTCACCTGGAAAAAAAGTTGCGTTGGCCGGCGGACGAGGTGTCTCCGTCGTACGAGTCGCTCTGCTTACGGCTGAGCGACGGGCCGCTCTGACTTTCATTGGGAGCGGAAATATCGATGTTGCTCTTACTCAGCCTCTTGCTTGAACTCAGACCGGGACTGGACTCCCCCAGCCGACCTGTGTTGTCCTGAAGCAAAGGGAGGGGAAGAGAGTACAACTTACTGCATGACCTCCAGTCACGACTGGAAACGGCACGAAACGAGGGGAGCTGATGTGTTTTTCCGAGGTGAGCTGTTGAGTGTGGGAGGCAGAAAATGTGTCAGAATCTGTTGGAAATGAGTGGATCTGAGTGACAGAGGGGAGGAGGAGAAAATGGATTTTTTTCCTGGTAGAAAATGATATGAAAAACAAGGTGAACATGTTATAATGAACGATGTACATGCACTCTTATGACCTCTAATAAATGGTGCTCAGGGAGCTTAAGGTGCCCATCAAATTTACCACAAAAACTCATTTCTGAACCACAGATTTATATTAATTTAATCTGTGGCTTCTGTTTTATTTGTGTTTGAGACTTGCATCAAAGATATTGCAACTTGAGAACTGTGATATAGCTATAAAGCAATTTATTGAGGAAAAACTAGCACAAATAGAACCAGCATGAGGTCAGTTTTATGCATGAGAATGACTTTTTGTTCAATCAAAGCACAAAGTTCAAACAAGGACATTGCCACCAGAGCACATGTTCTCTTTCTTGCAGATACCGAGTCCATTAACGAACACAATGCATAATGAAAACCTGCAATCACGTTCATTTGAAGTGATCTTTTAATCATGCAATACCAGGGAAATATATTTTTTTAGTCCAAGCCTCCACCCTCAGTGTGTGTGTCACCAGTAAAACACTGAGCTTCTACCTTCAGGCTCTCGGTGCTGTTGTTCCTGCTGCCGCTATTGTTGTTGGGGCTGCCCGGCCTCGGGTGGTTGCTGAAGCACAAAGCGTCGAAGCACAGCACTCCTCCCACACAGTCACCCATCAGGCAAACCTGCTCAGAGAACAATTTCAACAATCTCTTCAGTCGGCGGCCGCTGCAGCAGGGACACAGTTTGATACGAGCATATCAGTGAGACAGACGGTCGTGAGTGACAGCGTCCCAACCCCATGCACTGAAAGCATATTCAGTGCAGGAACCAAATGTAAAACAAAATGCTATAAATACTGTGACAAACTGAGAAATCGGATTTATGATCCTAAATAAAACAAAAGTAAAAAAAAGGTCATATCTGCCTCCATTCTTAAAACAATATTTTTAAATACAGTAATTAATTTGATCTCACTGTAAATGTTTTCAGTACGCCACTAAAAGGGGGTGAAGAGGCCACTTATCCAAATCAAAAATTTTGAGTTGAGCTGATTTAAGATGGTCACCACAACTAAATTACATTAGTAAATACAAATTTCATTAGAACTCAAGTCAAGGAGGCCTAACTCTATGGAATGCCACCCACTTCAAATATACATGACTTCAAACATGTAGACATGTCAACAACACACTGTCTGCACATAGTTAATGTGTTAATGACGTGTTGTCTATGTGGTAATTTGTCATTTTTTGATTTCACTTGATTCTGAGCCATTTGGTCACATCCAGTTGGAATTGGTGAGTGTTATACTGTTTTACTGCTGAGGATTAGGGTTTAACCATTTCTGTAAGTCTGTGTATGTGTGTGTGTGTGTGTGTGTGTGTGTGTGTGGGTGGGTGTGTGTGTGTGTGTGTGTGTGT